GCCATCTGTGCTCGAGGAACCAGTGTTCAGAGAACAGTGTTAAGCGCAAATTCCTACACACAGAAACTTCATATCCCGCACTGACAGGGTTGTATTGAAGATTTCAAGCCGGACCATATTTTTAGAAAATGTGAACTGACTCCTTGTGATGACAATATAATCTCTTTTATCTTTTTTCCTTGCTTGTATGAAGGCATGCATGAGAGTTGTGAGAGCTTCCCCTGATGCATGTGATGGATTGACTTTTACTTGACTGATGGAATTCCACAAATATTCTTCATATACTTCACTATACATTTGAATCTCCTTTTTTTCTTGGTTTGGTGCCAAAGTTTTTTCTTTATTTTTATTCCATAGGCTACTTATACTCAGAACAAGTTTCCATTCAGATTTCACTTAATTGACCATGGCTTGTTTGTATGTTTGTTGCATGGATAGGTCAGAATCGCTTGAAGACACCCCCTTGTACAAGTCTTTCCGTGATGATGTGGGTTTCTTGTTGGGTGAAATCACCAGTTGAATGCCAGCAGGAGTGCGGTGATGTATTCTCATGCATCGTGCTTTGCTAGTCATATTTTTTTGTATTATTTTTGTTCTGGTTTCCACATTATCTTGTTGTACTTCCAATATTTAGTGATGAGTTTCCTCGAGATTGTTCTTCCCCTGAATGTAACTTTTCTTCCAGTCTGATGCTTGAAATTTGAAATCCCAGCCCCCTTCAGGTTCCGCTGCTCCCAGATACGACACGAAATTTGCTGGTTTCGGATATTCCTGTTTGTATCTGAGGAATCATGGTCAGTTGAATTTGTAATTTTTCGCTTGTATTTTTTGAGCCGATTCGCATTTCCCGTATGCTTCCCCCATCCCGGACGCGAAGGGAAAGTGACTTCAAAAACCCGGCATGCCCTCCTCTGCGTGCAATCAAAATTTTGCATCAAATCTTCTCTTGTGTGGCAGCCAAGAGCCAAAAATTGGTCGACCACCATTCAATGTTTCTCCTGTAGCATTCTGTAGATGAAACTTGTAAAGAATCTCCTAGCGATGTGTTGATAATAAATCTTAGTTTTTGCCACAACCGCTGCTGTCGCCTTCCTTTCGCAATGTTCCAAGGCTATGTAAAGATGTCAGGGTTGTTGGGATTCATGAGCTGCATAACTATATACTTCAAGAAATTCATTGAGGTAGAGAACAGTATCTTATGTATGTTTTGGAATACATCAGAGTGCATCCGTCGTCTGCAAATTGTATTGGTTTTGCTGAAAACCTAGTAAGTGAAGAGAGGAGCTGCAGAATAGAAAAAGAGACCTCTTGCAACATTAAAAAGAAAATGATTAAGGCCTGCAGCCAACATGAACATGCAAAGAACTCGTATCTCCCTGCAACGTTCGAAATGAACTTTCGGAAAAACTATCGCCCAGAGATATGAAGGTAATTTATCCCAGACTTACAGGCTCCTTACCGTGAGACAGCCGAGTCTGCATATCGAACGAAAAACTTGGAAAGGAAACAACTGGCGAACCTTTGGGGGGGGGGAAGGGGGAACTTCCCGTCTTCGAGCGAAGAAGTGAGGTGAAGTCCTTCCAGCTGCTGTCATTGACCGGACCTCAGCGACGAGACGGCGACGGTCATTGCCCCGTCGACCACCGCAGAGACATCTAGTAGCTGCAGGACGAAGCTCAACGCCGGAAACTTAGTCGTTTCTGAGCCCCCATCGCCGCTTTTCGAGTAAAATCCAGGATCTTTTCCAAAATTGCTTGATGGAGAGAAACACGAGCGGCTGCCGCGATCGCACTCGCCAATTCGATCTCTGATTCATCGGACGACCGGAAAATGCAGTACAGTAAGGTACTTTTCGAGCATACGAGGGCCATTAAAAAGGTTCGGGGAAAACCCACGCCTGAGGTACGAGGATATAATGAATAAAATATAAAATGATAGTACGAATAAAACCTGAGCCCTGGCTCAGAGCTTGAGCTGAGTCTGAGCTTTTCCTCCGGTTAAAATGAATCAAGTTTTGCTCAAGCTCCAATAATTCCTCGCTTTCCTTGCTCTCGTCCCTTCTCATAGAAAGATCAGGGAAAGCTGAGTTGCCCGAAACCGCATTAGTAATTTATTATAATAATTAGTAATAGTAATAGAGTAATTTATCAAGTATTTAGGGTAATGGTCGCCAGCACCGTGAAAACTTGGTTGCTCTGTGTGAGGCAAAGCTTGCAGGATAATAATAAGTACAGTGGAAACTCGTTAACTCGAACTTTTAGGGACCGGGCAAATCGTTTCGAGTTATCAGGAATCGCCTTAACATGGTGTCCTACGGGGTTCCGCCGGGACCAAGCTTTGAACTTTGAGATAAGCGGAATTTCGACTCGGGATTTCAGAGGTAAATCAGATTCTACGACAATTCGTCAAAAACTTGCTTTCCCTCCACGAGATCAACGTTCACGCAACGAAGAAAGCATTTCGTCTCATCGGGCGGATACGAAACACGATGAAATCCTCAGGCGTGCCATTTAAAGCTCATTTGCACTTGAAGCTCCCTTTCCGCGTTATTCAGTCTGGAATTGTAAGCGGGTATTCCCCAAGTGGACGAAGAAAAAAACATCTCACACGAGTAGGATTTCGAAAGTAGAACCCAATTAGAACTTACTAGACAAGGTAGGAATTGAACCCAAAGTAATTAAGTAATTAAGGTAATTAAGGTTTGCATGCAACAGAGGAATTTTTAGGCCGCAGAATCAGAAAATTCCGACGGTTTATTTTACAGGGGCATTATTGTTGCCATCAATCAATAAAACGAAAAAATTGCACCCTGTCGTTATCACAACGACATCATCGATCACATATCAGCAAGCCTATTGATATTATCCGATTGATATTGATTCTCATCTATTGATATTGATATTGCGAGCTCCACCTCAAGGATCCCTTTAAAAGCTCCCTTTTATTCACTCGGGCCAATATCCTCCATAATGGGTTATGGGCAACCCTTTGGGTTAGTCACAAGCTTTTTACCGCTGAGGTTGCGCGCAACAGGTCGCGGCAGCTTGCAACCTCCTCGACCTCGTCGAAACGACGACCCTTCAGGCGCGGGAAGAGAAAAAAGTGGCACGTGGCGAACACGTCCGCCTTTGGGGATGGACTTAACGTCGGACTTAAGGTCGGTCGCCGCGGTGACAGGCGTATGAGCATTGTCGTCCTGAAGCGGTCACTCTCCGGATTTCCCGTTACGCGGTCGTTTTCGACGAATGGCATCAGCGGCGTAGCCAGGGTTTCGCCAAGGCTGAGTCAGCTGAAAAAATATTTTTTTTTTTTTAACGACTTCAAGGCGCAACTTCTCCATTCAGCAACGAACAAGTGATAAATTCTCAAAAAATGACTTCGTGGTCGTGAACAATTTTTCTTGGCAAGCAATCGCATTTGCCCGTTCTCGTTTTCTCACCTCGCCGGATGCGGCATTTCCATTTCAAAGAAATTGATCACGCTTCATCGAATTTCAAACTGGCAAAAATATTGCTAACGATTTGAACTCTTCCATCATTTTCGAAACGCCCCCACGTCTCCCATGTCTTGAGTCGCCATGAGTTGCCGTGAGTCGCCGTGAGGATGGAAAGAGCAAGGGGGCACGTGGGGGCACGTGTGCCCCCCTCCCCTCTCCCCCGACGATGCGCCGCTGCCCCACAAAATTTGTCTTAAAACACGAAAGTCCTTTTTTTTTCGCTTATAACCATTATTAATTACAAAATTAAATGCGGTCGCAAAATCGTGAAACGAACTGATGAGATGAACTGATGAGTAAGAATTGATGAACTTGACGACAGCTCGAAAGCTGAAGCGCGAAGCTGAAGCGAAGCGCTGAAGCTCTCGTCAAGTTCCTCGGGGATTCTTGCGTGCCCTTACCCTATGGAGACTGGAGGAAACAATGCAAAAATAAATAAATAATAACGAGAATGATGAAATGCTTTGAGTTATACAGTTGCATGGCCTGGTTCCGCCACGACCTGAACCGAAAGTTCTGGGTGGTGAAGATGAATTATTTTCAAATGAGTTCAAGTTCGACAGAAATCTGTTAAGCTTCCGCTTTGGTCGTGATCGAGAATGAGCTTCGGGAAGGCAAATTCCTATTTAAATCTCTTTATTTGGTCGAAGATCCGGTGTTGTCGAGAATAAAATCCTAATATATAAACAAATAAAGAACGACTCGATTCAGGTCTCCCTGGGTTCCATTTCCCAGGCTCGATCCCTAACGGAAGCACTAACGGAAGCACTAACGGAAGCACGGACGGAAGCACGGACGGAAGCACGGACGGAAGCACTGGTAACACGGACCCGCCGGAGGCTGGCTCTCCTCTCGCTCGACTGAGGCTCGGGCGAGGCGGGAAGCGATTTACAGGGTTGTCGAGGCGTGCCGGGCCGAATTCGCCGGAAAGCACGCCGATGTTCTTCGATTGTAGCACTTTTTAAAAAACGATGCGAACGTACATCTAAATAAAAAAAAAGGAAGAGCTAGTCAAAAGCTAATTAATATAATAATTTTTGGCAGAGTGAAGATTGCGAAGCTTCCCGAACATTCTAAAGAGATACGGAGTTCCGGCATCCCTAGACGCACCCAGTCGAATCGAAATTCGGAACGAACGAAAAAAAAGTTCCAACGTTCAAAACGAGTTTCTAACGTTTGAGGCCGCATGCATCCTCAATTATCTCGAATCGCTCGATCGTTAACTCGAGCTCTCATTTCAACATTTATTCTCTCGACTCGAACAAACCCCGTCGGCGAAAACGCGAAGAAGCGAGAATCGGATCCGGCATCCCTGCCCGCCGCACCCCTGCCCCCCCCAGTCTCTCGCCGCCCCTCCCCTCATCCACACGCTTCTCTCGCTCTCTCCCGATTCTTCTTCCCAGTGCGTAGATTTTTCTCTCCCAGCCGATGCTCCTTGAGTTGGAGGCGCCCCTCAAAATTTGCGGTGAGATCTTTATCTGTCGCTATTTGCGATTAAGCGACGATGAAGTAATTTTTAGTCGTAGGTGGAGTAAAATTTTTCGCATGGTATTGTATGGTATTAAGTTGTTAATTTATCCGGCGGCCGAGAGGCAGGAAGCGATTCCATCGTTGGAGATTCAGATTGTTTCAACCATCAACATCTCAGGCGATGCAAGAAATTATTATATATCCTAACGAATAACGGTTACCTCGTGATCCAATCTACTGGAAACGGACGCGGCTCAAGCGTTAGTGCATTGATTTTTTCGGTATGAAAATTTCGTCACGTTACCTCCTATTCTCTCTCACTGAAGAAAAGCCCTCGTCTCTCACGTTTCCCATTCAAAAATTGCAATTTAATTTCAATTAAATTGCAGGGGACATCCACGGCCAGCACTCCGACCTGCTGCGCCTGTTCGAGAGCGGCGGCTTCCCCAGGCGAACTACCTCTTCCTCGGGGATTACGTAGACCGCGGGAGGAACTCCGTGGAGACCATCTGCCTCATGTTCGCCTATAAGATCAAATACCCGGAGAACCTCTTCGTCCTGAGGGGGAACCACGAGTGCGCGAGTATCAGCCGCGTCGATGGATTCTATGACGAATGTGAGCATGGCTCTGTGGTGGGGGGGGGGGGGGGGGAGAGGAGGCCTGCTTGGCTTGTATGGCTTTCAGTTTTTCACTCGTTTTTTCAGTCCAGCAACTACCAGCAATGGAATTCTAGATGAGGTTTGATATTATACGGGGCCTGTAGGTTCCCTGCCGGGAATTTTCTGTCTGGGGATGTCTAGGATTTATTTGCGGACCTACTGATGGTAGTTGTATTGGGGGGATGAAGTTGACTTCTTTCAGCATCAACTCTGTAGGTTTCTTAGAGACTCGGAGACATCAACGGGGGTGGCAGGGACCTGTCGATTCCCTTCTGCTCAAGGATTATCTGGCTGGAGATAAAAAAAAAAGAAGTAGTAGGAGACGATAGAAGCAATAGGAGAGTGAAAGCAACTAATTTAGACGTAATTAATTCAGACCGACAAATACATGCACATACAAATTGTAGCCTTTGGGAGTTGCTAGAAGCGCATGAAATTCGCTCTGCAGGCGGTTTCCCGTCATACGATGAAACTCCGAAGGAAATTTCCAGGCAAGCGCCGCTACAACGTGAAGACATGGAAGACCTTCATCGACTGCTTCAACTCCCTGCCAGTGGCGGCGCTGGCGGAGTAGAAGCTCCTGTGCACGCACAGCCGGGAGCTGGAGCAGCTGGACCAGATCCGGAGGGTCCAGCGGTCCACGGACGTCCCGGACCGGGGCCTGCTCTGCGACCTCCTCTGGGCCGACCCCGACAAGGTGCGAAGCTCCCGCTCTTCCGTGGTCCTTCCGGCGAGAAGCCAGGAAGGCCATTCGCCATTTGGGAAAAGAAAATCTCAAAATTTTCGGGAATTATTTCCACTCGTTTTTTTTTTATCATTACTGATTAAATTATTTTATAAATAAAATTTTAAATCATTTTTCAATTTTTAATCAATTTTAATCACTACTAAAATTGCGTCCAGATGACGTCCACCTGACTTCGTGGACTGCGCTCTTGCAATGGTACGATTGAGGGTGGCCATACCTACGTGGTGGTAACACAAGTAAATTTGTGTTAATAACAATTTCAGCGTGTTTTGCTGGGGTGGAATGAATCGGCACATGAAGGTGATCCTGGCTTTATCGATCAAGAATAATATTTAGGCTATTTTTTCTTCCTCATCCCTTCCTTTGGGGACTACCGAGGTCTCAAGAAGCAGCAGTATATTAAGAGGTAACTTTAGGAGCTGTAATTAGTGTTTGTAATTACTTTTGGGGCAATAATTTAAGGAACAGAAATTTCGGGAATGGAACTTCGGGAACTTAGCATAAACTGTTATGTCAAAATGTAATCATATTTCAATAGGTATTTTCCGAGAAGGTACAAAGAGGCAATGTGAAAACGAGCGAATTCAACAAAATAGAAGCAAGGTTAGGACGTCGAGGCCACTTTGTGTCTCGTTGAATTTCGGGACGAAGGAAAATGCCTGACCTCGGTGACCCTCAAGGGGGCTCTTGGACTTTTATTTCCTTTTTTTGCTACTTGTTTCGAGGTGACACGCTTGCATTGCCTGGAAAATCAAAATCGATTTTAAAAGGAAATGCCCAGAAGCGGAGGCAACAAACGAGGCGAGAACGACGGCGATTTTTAGGCTCGTCCTCTCGCTGCATGATAGACCGGAAAATTGAGGGCGTGAGGGAAAGGCGTGGTGCGGAGTACTGCTGGAGGCGGACGTGAGGAAGGGGCGTGGTGCGGCATAGTGCGGGAGACAGACGCGAGGAAAGAGTGTTGTGCGGCGTAGTGCTGGAGGCGGACGCGAGGAAAGAGTGTTGTGCGGCGTAGTGCTGGAGGCGGGCGCGAGGAAAGAGTGTTGTGCGGCGTAGTGCCGGAGGCGGGCGCGAGGAAAGAGTGTGGTGCAGCCTAGTGCTGGAGGCGGACGCGAGGAAAGTGTCGAGCGCGAAGTGGAGGACGGCAGCTTGCAATGAAGCACCGGGAGACATCCTCCATCCCCCTAAACCTCAACGTTGACTCCATCATCATGCAGCTCCTCGCCGGTGAAAGTGACTTCATTTTTCACCAACTTGTGAATTTTTGTCGCCAAATTTTGAAGTTGCATTTATATTATGATATGTTTTGTTTGTTTCTTTTTTTGTTTTTTTGTTTTCTTTTTTTTTCTTGCAATTACAACTGGCTCCTCCTCGATCGGCGTTGTTCCCGCGGAAATAATAACCTATTCCTTAACACGTTGGCGTCAATGCGTCCTGATGCCAGGATGCAGATTTTTTTTCAATGAATACCCTCTGGAAC